TAGTGATCTATCATAAAATCTCGACTTGTTGGTCACAGTTATCCCGTGACTGGGAAGCGGATGCTAGTGTTCAGCCGGAAGGCAAACGAATTCACTTTATCGAAAAGAATAACGGGTTCTGCCTAATAGCAGGCGGGAACCCGCTCATGTAGATATAACCTGGATGCTCTAATGCCTTCTACGCCCTCCTTGCTTCAAAGAGACAGCGTATGAAGGAACAACCACATAGAAGAAATATAAAATCAAATTACAGCACCATGGTTTCGGCCCATGACTGGTCAACACAGCGGCATTCTGCTGACTGACCGAGGACATTCTGCCGACGGGCGCGATGATTCCCCGTCATCTACACGCATATGACGATATAATACTGCTACAGCAGGTAATATTCTTAGTCGCAAACAAGTCTGCTTCGGCGAGGAGTTTCAGAATTTCCTGTGAACAGTTACTCAAGACCAACTTCGAAAAAGCTGAAGATGCCTTAGTGGCACCGGAGGCAACGCATGCGACTCACTTGTTCGAAAACAGTCAGCTCGAGTTTCCGAAAAAGCCGAATACGTACTTCAATGGGAGGTAGTGCACATGTAGGTCGAATGGTGCAAATGTGTTAACATCTGAAAACCGGATACCCCTAAATATAGCACAATCGTTTACCTAACTAACTTCGGTTCAGATTTAAACTGACAGTCCAACCTATTAAGTAAAGTATCCCATAAGTGTCAGTAACAAGCACACTATCTCAGCTTTCACAAAAGAAAAGCTGGAAGTGCTAATTGTGACTCATCCTTCAGACTCGTCCTTCAGAAAGATGCATCTAAATGTACATGCACAATATTTTGCTACACTTTATGTGCTAACGAATACAAGAAGAATATTTAGTCTCTGGATAGAGATCAATTTCTTGTCTGCAGTCAAGCAGGTATCGATGCAAGATGATGGATTACAAGAATTCTGCGCGAAAGCTCGACCGCATTCGCTAAAGCAACGTTTCTAAAAATTATGCTTTCTCAGCAGCGACAAGATGAGGATTGTCAACTTCTCGGTACGTTAAGATGTCAGAAATTCAACAATTCACTAGTCATTTAAAACGATTTGACAACTTTGGGAGAGTCATATATCTCTGTCGTCGTTTCTCAACCCACCGAACCTTCTAACTGAAATCTGTTGTGTTGCAGGTAATCTTTGCCCAAAGGTTATGCTGAATGAATCGAAACATCATGAGGCCAACAGTCATTAACCGTTAGAAAACCATTCCAAAAATTTGGCGCTTGTGCGAACATGACCAGAGCGTGTGACCTACGACCAATTTACCTGATGAGTGAACTTTATGGCTGTAGTTTGCACTGAAATATCCGATAGTTAACCAAATCAGCATAGAGTGCAACTCGTAAACAAAAATAATGTTACAATTTACACACGAGAAAATTTCTGAAAAAAGGAATGAAAAAATCATACGAGATAAGAAGTTTACAAGCAGTAAAACTGCTCAGTAAAAACTTTTAAAGTTTATCGCCATAACAGAAACACGCTTAAAAAATTAAGAGACAACCAACAAACTGATGAACAACTCTATAAGTAATGCAGAATAATATCGCAGCGTGAAAAGTAATGACAGCGAAAAAAACCTTACATTGCGGATGACGAGGTATCGTGCACTCGTAGTGGTTTGCTTCATTGGCGAAAGAGATCGATTATATTCTTGGCGATCGAAATCTGTGGCAAAGTTTAGTAACGACAGCATATTCAGATAATTTTCGTTCACATTCATACTCGAATAGTAACTGAGACCTCCTCTGCTGAGAACTGAATTTGCTGCTCCAGACATTACAGAATCCATCACACGAGAAGGACCGCCATTGAACGGCGAAACCGCATTACTCATGTCTGCAAAGTTCCCACCCATGTGTCCTTGCGGATAACTGCTCAGAAAATCTGAAGTACTAAGTGGCATGTTACTTCCCATATTGCTGCGTAAAAGCGCAGCTTCGTGCATAGCGCCTCTGCCAGAAGCGGTACAACCTGAAAACAAGGCAGTATATAGCATCCGAAATCTGATGCTATATGATAAACAGCTTAACTGTTTAACTTGTTAATTGGTCGCGAATGTTATTCGCCTACCTACAAATGCGCGAAGAGCCTCGCAATTCGCCGACAAGGTGAATTCAAACATCAAAAATCGACCATTTAAGAGGAGACCGCTACTAAAAGCATGTAAACGCACATTTTTGCTACAATCAGCAGGAAAGACGATACAAGAAGAACGATGGTGAATGAAAATAATCTAAACTAGTCTTGCAGCGGCAAATTGCTACTGCCATAATCGTTTTTCAAGATATTACAGTTCAAGAACTAATAACCAGTGAGAGTGTAAGGAGGTTAGTACTAAAATATGCAGAAAGAATAGAAAAATTGAAGGGTGACCACTTTCAAACGATTCAGGTCAAGTCAGCACGTGTGTGTAATCGTCATGTAGGTTCTACATCATGGACTACAATGCTCAAATTTACGATGTCCGCACGAACAGCGCCAGTCAGAACGATTTAAGGTAATTTTCAATACGTGCGCAAAGAAAATACTCCTAACATCAATATATTCTATTCAGGCGAAAATCAGAAGTTCAGCAAATCTAGTCGATATCGGGTGAATGACTATTCCACCAAAAGCGCTGGCGAAATATGAATCATGTGATATACGGGCACTGCTGAAAATGGAGTTTGTCGGTCCTCCTTAACTTTCAAGATCTGGCCGTGATGAAGTTGATGGTGCGGTGCTGATCTCCGTTTCTACACCATTCGCAAGGAGTGTCTTATTATAAAAGCAGATGCTGAAAATGAACGTGTGGTACAAAGGAGCCTTAAAACTTTGTCCTCATTTAATCCGCAACGAAAAAAGATAGATTATGACCATGTACAGTAAAACAATCGAGAACAGAAGAGTGATTCTCCGCATCCGTAAAAATTTGGCTTAAATGATAGAAAATGGCTTTTGATCGCACCAAAAATTCTCAAGTTTTTCATTAATATAAAGGAAACGATAGGCAAAAATAAAATAAAGGTAAAAAACAATCTTTCAGTTGGCTATGCACAGAGGCGTCATGTCATAAACTTCCCCGTCTTGCGTAAAGTCTTGAAGTCAAAAAGTAAAGAAATGATCCCAGCTTCGACTTTTCTTCTAAAGTGCGAAAAAGTTCACAATGGCTTAAAATGTGGAGCGATACTGAGGACCGTAAGCTTTAAACTTCATGTCCCGCGTTAAAATTTAAGGGTTAACATTAAAGAAAAACAAAACAAATTACGATCCGACAGAAACATAAGCGAAAAATACGAAGAGACAATCAATTTCTGCTGTACACAAAAGAATAATTAAAAAGAAATATGGAGCTGCTCATAATATTGTAAGTGATGTATGCTGAGCACATAACAGTTAGCCATGAATGTGACCGCAGTTCACTCAAGAAACTTACCAGAGTTTAATAACTGTGAAACTTTAGTCAATGATGTTCCATTATTACCGAGACCCATGCCAATGCTTCTGAGACCAGGAGGGAGCTCACCAGGTCTTCTGGTTTCTTTAATTTTTTCGAAACGATCCTAAAAATAAAGTTCAAGACAAAATGAGATTGCGATACTGACAACGTCATAAAACAATCGAAAACCAGCGTCGATTGGTATATTTCATATGC